AACCCCACCGTGTGGAGCAGGAGTCCTTGGAATTGTGAATTGTGGGGTGGGGGTCGGTTCGCTGTTAGGCTGGAACTGACCAAGAGGGCCTCCTAACTGAGCCCACTGCGGGTCTGCTCCTTCTGCTGTGGGGCGTGGGTGTGGAACCCCGCCGTGACAGGAGTCAGTGGACCAATTCGGGAGATCTCCACTTCGTAAGCTTTTTTTCGTAACTGTCAGGCCTGCATGTGTTTTGTTTGTACTGTTTATTTTTTTTTGGACTGTATGACTGATGGGACTGGAAACCATGGGCACCACTCCATCTAGCCCCCTAGACTTACAGAAAGAAACTGAGAAAGAGGAAAAGGAAAGGTACCCCTGGTTTTTCAGGGAGATAACTTGAAAGAAGAAATGTTTTCTCCCCCATACTCCCCTTCCCAGGTTCCTTTTGCAGAACCTGAGAATGATCAAGAGGAGGAGGGAGCTATCGAACCCTTGGCACCTGTCCTTAAAGTTTCTGAGGGGCCAGTCACTCGACGATGCCATGGGATCAATCCCCCTTCTAATGCAGCTGTTTTTCCCTTATGTGCCATAGGTCCTGTGGATGCGGATGGTCAACAGCAACTCCAATATTGACCATTTTCTACCAGTGATCTGTACAATTGGTGTACACAAAGTGCCCCCTTTTCTGAGAAACCCCAGGATTTAATTTGTTTGCTTGAAACTATTCTCTTTACTCATCAGCCCACTTGGGATGATTGCAGTCAGCTTTTACAGGTCCTTTTTACCACCGAAGAGAGAGACCATATCTGAGAGGCGGTCCGGAAACATATCCCTGGCCCCACAGGAGCACCCATCACGGATCCTGCCCTGATCGATGCCTATTTTCCTGAGATCGAACCAACATGGGAGTACAATATGGTTGAAGGTAGGGAGCAACTCCTTGTCTACCGCCAGGCTCTGTTGGCAGGTCTCAAGGCGGCAGCTCACCGACCTACTAATATGGCCAAGGTTTATGGTGTAAGACAGGGAGGAAGTGAAAGTCCAGCAGCATATGTTCAGTGGCTCATGGAAACTTTTAGTCAATATACCCCATATGATCTTGAGACCCAGGAGTCAGCTCAGATGATTATGTTTGCCTATATAAATCAAGCTGCACCAGACATAAAGCGAAAGTTGCAGGATCTAGACAGACTTGGTGAAAAGTCGATTAGGGATCTAGTAGCCGTGGCAGAAAAGGTTTACAATAAGAGAGACAGAGGAGCAAAGACAGGAAAGGAAGGGCAGAGAATGTGAAAATGACCATGAAAAGAGAGACCGGGCCAAGGAAAAGAGGCCAGACTTGTTGAGCTCACCACCTTCACATGCTGAGCATACCTGGTTCACAGACACCAGCAGTTTCATTCAAGATGGAAAAAGGTACGCGGGCGCAGCAGTCACCACGGACACTGAGATAGTGTGGGCAGAAGCACTCTCCAGGGAATGTCTGCACAAAGAGCAGAACTAGTGGCACTAACAAAAGCCCTACAAATGGGAAAAGGGAAGAGACTAAACATTTACACGGACAGTCGGTATGCTTTTGCCACCCTGCATGTCCATGGAGCCATTTACCAAGAGAGGAGGCTGCTGACAGCTGAGGGAAAGGGTATTAAAATCAAACAAGAAATTTTAAGCCTCATCCGGGCCTTATGGGAACCAGCAAATATTGCCATTATGCACTGCCCTGGCCATCAAAAGGGAACTGATTCTATAACCAAAGGAAATAATTTGGCTGATCAGGCAGCTAAGGAGGTGGCCCTCTAGCCCAGAGTGGAAGTACTGACTCTAGAAGACCCAGGGCCATGAGTTTTGCCTCCTGAGCCTCAGTACTCCCAAGAATACTTGGAGTGGATAAAGAAAATTCCCATGGTCTATAAACCACCAGACAGAGAAGGAAACAAAGACTGGTGTAAAACTGGTGAGGAGAAACTTATCTTGCCACAGAGATTGGGCAAGGGGATACTTGAGAATCCAACGGGTTTCTCACATGGGAACCCGAAGAATGCAGGATTTGCTCCAACACTCAGAAGTAAAAATTAGGCAAGGAAATCAACTCATTGAGGACATTGTTAAAAATTGTAAAGCCTGTCAGCTCACCAATGCCCCCAATCAACCAGTTACAAAAGGAGCTCGCCTCCGTGGAGATAGGGCAGGTGTGTAGTGGGGAAGTAGACTTCACAGAAATTAAAACTGGAAAATTTGGATATAAATATTTGCTAGTTTTTGTAGACACGTTTTCAAGATGGGTTGAAGCCTACCCAACAAAACATGAGACCGTGAATATCGTGGCTAAGAAGATCCTGGAAGAAATCCTACCCAGGTATAGCTTCCCATCCACCATTGGGTCGGACAATGGACCAGCCTTCATCTCAAAAGTAAGTCAGGGCACTGGGGATGGATTGGAAACTGCACTGTGCTTATAGACCCCAGAGTTCAGGGCAGGTAGAAAGAATGAATCGGGCTCTAAAAGAGACCTTAACTA